ACTGAACAACCCATACTACCAAAATTTCAAAACTGTACGAATACTCGAACCTAAAAAAGTTCTAACGAACCAGTTACTTGAGACACCCTGTATATAGGCTGTTTCATAATATATCCGCAGGACTTCAGGATGCGATAGCTTGTCCAAAAATTTGAAAAAAAGTTTCTATCAACTTACCCTCTAAAATTCACCATTTTCGAGATACAGGGTGTTGAAATTTAATAAAAAGATTCGTTTTTTGCGAATATCTCCGGAACCGGAAAAATTTTTTTAAAGTCATATTTGGTGAATATTTTAAGTTTTTTCTCTTTCTGAATATCTCGAAAATGGTGCATTTTAGAGGGTAAGTTGATAGATAAGTTAGCTTGTATGTATGTATGTATGTAAGAGAAGGGGAGGGTATGCAACGCACACAGCACTTAGACCCCAACGGACCCTTGTGCATCCTCCCAACACTCACTCCGGTTATATCAACCAGCCTAAGGAGTTACCAAAGGCTATGATACAGCTCAGAGGTGTGTCTCTAACGCCATCCGTAGTAGGCCATTCTTCCCCGAACACTCTTAATCTGATGTCCTTGAAGGCAGAATAGTTACACAAGATGTGATAAACCGTCTTTGTTACTTTGTACACTTTGTTATAAAGGTATTTATACATATAGTCCGTGCAGCATTCCAATAGAGGTGTGTTTGTCAACGCCTCCCTCCAAAGTGCTGCACTTCCTCTGGTTTCCTCTCCCTTGAAAAGTCCTACTTCCCGTAGTCGCAACATGGTAATCAGCGCCACCTCCTGAATATATAAATGTAGAGGTGACAAGTTTAATCACCTCATGGCCATGTGGTGCTCCATGCATTTGTTTAATTTGAATTGCTTGACGGTATTATTTTCGACATGTGACGTAATACGCAGTATAGTTGCGTACGAACCTAGACAACCTTTTATATATAAACCTTGTACTTGGGCCACTATTATTTATTATCTACATTAACGACCTACCAAAAGTATAGAGGGGGTAACCACATGTTTGTATGCGGATGACACCTCTTTTATTATACGGGGACCGTCAAATGGGGCTGTGGACGAAAAGAGCACTAAGACTTTGGACTCAGCTTCTGACTGGCTACACGCAAATAGATTGTTATTGAATAATGAAAAAGCACAAGTTATAAACTTTTTCCACAAAGGAGATAAGAGAAATTTATTAAACTGGAATGATCATATTGATGTTTTGTGCGGGCGCTTAGCAAGTGCGGTTTTCCTTGTGCGAAGACTGACTCTGTGTGCCACGAGTAGGCCATTTTCGCAACCTCCGAAAATGGCCTATTTTTCCTGTTTCCATGCTATTGCCGGATATGGGATTGCCGTGTGGGGGTCTGCGGTTGGTGCGAGGAGAGTGTTTTCAATATTTTCAATTAAGGCTTTTTCTTTTGTTTTACATGTCATTTATTGTTTGATATTTTTTCTATTTGTTTTTTTTTTCTTGAAGGCTACTCCCTCTTAAGGTCGCTGAGTTCAGTGCACCACCACAGAGTGACACATCCTGAATCAGCTTCCAGACAGAGTGGACAAGCCTTTTTATACGCAATTGTCAGGGAATCTGTCAAAACCAATGATCGTTCCTCAATTAACCTTATACCGCTCAAACATCCTAATAACACCGACTTGAACTTGTTCCTGGGGTTTCGCTTCAGGTGTTTCTCGATCTTTTTTATACCTAGATCAAAAGTGATCCATCTGTGGTGGTGGACTTCATGTGAAATACTTATCGCGACCAAGGATTTTTGACCATAATAAGCCAAAAAACTTAGCTTATTTTGAGTAGAAAATGCTAGGGTTAACGATATACCTATTAAGAAATAAACTATGAGAATGAATAATGTTTAGCGGTAACTATTAACAACAACTTGTGCGACCATGTCTATTTTACTTCTTATTTTTTGTTTCTAACGGTTATTTTATATCCTGAACATAGCCTCAAACACATGTGTCGCCATCTATTGTGTTTATATCTAAACTGTACAAAATACTTCTTTTATTTAATATCACATCTCAACATACAAAAGATGTTTTCTCTACGATAAACGGTTCCGGAGATATTCGCAAAAAACGATTTTTTTATTAAATTTCAACACCCTGTATCTCGCAAATGGTGCATTTTAGAAGGTTAGTTGATAGAAACCTTTTTTCAAATTTTTGGACAAGCTATCACATTCTGAATCATGCGCATATATTATAAAACACCTGTATATATACAGGGTGTCTCAGCGAGACCGGTCATTAGACGTTTCTGGGGTTCTGGCCAAACAAAAAATTTGAGAATGCAGACTTAAGTATTATCAGTTACGTTCTCTTTATCTAAAATATTTTCATATTTCTAGCACTTCCGGTTACACCGGAAGTCGCCACCAACTTTATTTTTTTAAATGGAACACCCTGTATATTTTTACATATTTGGATTTGTCTGTTTTCAAGGTTTATAAATAACTTTACTTTTTGCAATTTGATTCGGTCGTTCTCGAGTTATTCGAATTTTTCTAGAAAAATCTGCTCCAGCAGACATTTGTTCAAAAAATCAGAAAACACTCAATTTTTGGGATATCAATTTAGGATTGAGAACATGCTTAAGCAACATGATGGAGTATGTTTTGGTGCCGAGAACTGCGGTCTAGAACGTTTGATCACTTTACTATGGCACGTTAACTTTTCAAAATTTGGAAGTACCATAACTTCATTTTTTTAAATGGCACCCCCCATATTTTATTTTTTAGTCGTCTTCGGTGTCTCATTCTACATCTTTTATATCCCATATGGCCCATACCTAATATTAATAGTTTGGGAGATAATTAGGGTTTTTTGAAAAATGCACACATATCATATGGATATTTAGCCTAGTGTGCCATGAAAAACAAGCCTTCTCAATGAGTTCTTGTCAAAGACTCACTTGTTTACGTCACTTGATGCATGTGAGCTAATAATTATCTGTTATGTCCCTTAATATTAGTACTGAAACGAGTTAAAATCGATAACAATAACGAAAGTAATATTTACACAAATCAAGAAATTCTTAATTTATTTTTTTTGCATGAAAAGCGCGACAAAGTTCGTAGTATGATTCCCAGATCTTCTTTGGCAGCTCGAATTGAGGTGTTGGGACTGGGCTCGAAATAAGCCAAGGTATTCACCTCTTCCGTTGCATTATCTACTACATTTTTTGGTCAGTTTAACACGTGATTAATTCGTCCAAAATGCAAAAAATTTGCTTCTATTCCTCTAAATTTACCTTTTGTCATCGGAGATAAATGTGGATAATTTTCATTAAACATTCTGCAAGTTCTACTAAGAACTTTGTCGCACTTTTCGTGCACAAAAAATAAATTATGGATTTCTTCATTTGTATAAACATTATTTACGTTATTAATATCCATTTTAACTGGTTTTAGACTCACAAGCATCAAACAACCTAAATTAGACTTTGACGTTTATCAATAAGTCATTAAACATTTGTTTTCCATGGCACACTAGGTTAATATCCATATGATATGTGAGCATTTTTCAAAAAACCCTAATTATTTCTCAAACTATTAATGTTAGGCATAGGACATATGGAATATAAAAGATGTAAAATGAGACGCCGAAGACGACTAAGTAATAAAATATGGGGGGTGCCATTTAAAAAAATGAAGTTATGGTGCTTCCAAATTTCGAAAAGTTAACGTATCATAGTAAAGTGACCAAACGATCTAGACAGCCGTTCTCGGCACCAAAACATACTCCATCATGTTGTTTAAGCATGTTCTGAATCCTAAATTGATATCTCAAAAATTGAGTGTTCTATGATTTTTTGAACAAATGTCCGCTGGAGCAAATTTTTCTAGAAAAATTCGAATAACTCGAGAATTGCTGGTTCAAATTGCAAAAAGTAAAGTTATTTATAAACCTTCAAAACAGACAAATCCAAATATGTAAAAATATACAGGGTGTTCCATTTAAAAAAATAAAGTAGGTGGCGACTTCCGGTATAACCGGAAGTGCTAGAAATCTGAAAATATTTTAGATGAAGAGAACGTAATTGATAATACTTAAGTCTGCATTCTCAAATTTTTTGTTTGGCCAGAACCCCAGAAACGTCTAAGGACCGGTCTCGCTGAGACACCCTGTATAAATCCAGTATTCAAGAAGCTCCATAAACAACACATACAGTAAGAAATTATAGTAAAATTTTATAAGGGTACAACTTTTAATATGTTTACAATCGTTTCTCAATATCAATCAAATGTTTTTGGAAATTGATAAATTTGCTAAAATATTAAAAAAGAAAATTAGTAAAATCATGTTATGGCCGGTAATTTCAAACTTGCTAACACTGTGCGCCCCTCTCTTCTTTCGACGAACACTTTTTTAAACTCAAATCTAGAGCTTTTGGCTTTATTGAAGCCTACTCCCTCTTAAGGTCGCTAAGCTCAGTGCACCACCACAGAGTGGCACGTCTTGAATCAGCTTCCAGACCCCTTTTTATACGCAATTGTCAGCGAATCTGTCAAGACCAATGACCGTTCCTCAACATCCCTGCTCAAATTTGGCCGGATTAACCTTATATCGCTCAAACACCCTAATAACACCGACTTGAACTTGTTCACATCAGTGTTCCTGGGGTTTCGCTTCAGGTGTTTCCCGATCTTTTGTGGTGTGACATTGAAACCAAGTCAGAGACTTTCCAGTTGTGGACTTTATCTGAAATACTCATCAAGACTAAGGATTTTTGGCCATAATAAGCCAAAAAGCTTATTATGAGTAGAAAATGCTTACAAAAGTTGTTTTCTGTATGATAAACGATTTTTTATTAGATTTCAACACCCTGTATCTCGAAAATGGTGCATTTTAGAAGGTTAGTTGATAGAAACCTTTTTTCAAATTTTTGGACAAGCTATCACATTCTGAAGTCATGCGCATATATTATAAAAAACCCTGTATATATATATAATTACTTTTTTTAAATTTAGCTAAAGCAGGAGATGAATACAACATCCCAGTTTTTAAATATTCTGGTTGGAGACGTGATAAAAAATTAAAACCCGAAATAATGACCGATTACGAAAAATTAAACGTTGAACTCAACGTTTTGGCTTTTTGCTCGCAATACATTCCAATGGAAATCATCAACTACCCTCGTTTCCAAAGCATATGTTATCACCCCTCAATTTTACCGAGACATCGAGGAGCTTCCGCAATTAATTGGTAATTAACCCCCTCTAAAATGAATTAAATTAAATTTTATTAATTTAGGACTTTAATAACCGGAGATGAATACGCAGGATTTTCAATTTTTTGGCCCGACGATGGTTTAGACACCGGTCCAATCCTGCTTCAAGATCGCATCAAAATCGAAGAAACCGACAACGTTGACAGTTTGTATAAACGCTTTTTGTACCCCGCGGGGATTAGCGCTTTAGAAAAAGCCGTCGATATGATAGCCGATGGGACAGCCCCCAAAGAAATTCAAAACGAAACTTTAGCAACTTACGACCCAATGTTGAATAAACAAGAATATCGAAAAATCGATTTTAATAAATCATCGAAAGAACTGTATAATTTTATTCGAGGGATGGACTCAGTCCCCGGGGCTTCTTGCGCTATAAAAATCCCCGGAACTAATCACTTCGAAATTGTGGACGTTTTCGGCTCATCAATTTGGAAGAAAAAGTTACCGATTAACGCAAAACCCGTCGAAATCGAATCCGCTAAGAAACCGGCGTTATTGCACTCACAAGGTCTTTTGTTATTCACGAACGATGATGATGTCGCGGTGAATATAACCAGGGTTAAAATTAACGGGAAATTTCGCGCGGCGGAGTCGCTCGATCAATTAACGAAACAAATCGAGATTGAGTACAGCGAGGATGAAAAGGAATCTTTGGAATCGTTGAGGAAAATTTGGGAATCGATTTTAAATGTGGATGTTAATGAAAATACCGATTTTTTCTTGTCGGGGGCTGGATCGATGGATGTTGTTCGCTTGGTGGAGGAGGTTAAGGAGTTGTTTAAGATTGAGTTTGAAAATGCGCAAGTTTTTATGGCTTCTAGTTTTGAAGAGTTTTGTCAAGAGGTTGTTAAAACGACGAGATCTGGAGGATTTGATAATAATATTAAGGTTGGTATCTTTATTTTTTATGTTTAGACACTTTTCGACAATTTTTGATCTTTATGGCAACGTATGGATAGGCTAGGGAAGTGTTAGGAAGCTTATTAGACTTGTTAAAATTTCTCTTGGAAGCTCTCCATAATCTTAGAAAGCGTTTAGACACTTTTTGATAACTTTCGCTGAGATCATTACGGCTGCTCTCTCAGTCTTATGACTTGCAACCTTCATTCCCATTACGATTAGTTACCATATTATTGCTTCCACAGCATATCAGACCTTATCTTCCACCACACAAATCATTCAAACCTATCTAAGATCCACACATAACTCAACCTCAATCAAAATTAGTCAAACCTAACCAAATCTATGTAACCCACAATTAAAATATCCCCAAATCCTCCAAACCCAACCAAAATTTCTTAAGCCCAACCCAACCCTTCTTTTTGTTTTTTGGCACAGAGGATGAGAAAATGCTTTATGCACCCTGGCCTACTGTTGGTGCCTTTAAGGCTTCAATCATTGTATAAAGGGGGACATAAGATGTCGTCCTCTCCATCTGGCTTGAAAAACAAAATCTCCTTGTTTAGTATGAGCTTTTGGGAAATGTTGGACATATCTTTATCATTTTCACTAAGTATTGAGTCATGGGCATACCCCAAATACTTAACGCTGCTTGAGGTACAAACCTTTATCCCTGTCGTCGTAGCTGCTACACTTAATTTCATCTCGCATAACTTATTAATGACTCTATTAATGTCTTCCCCGCACCACAACCGCCAGATCGTCTGCGTATGCTAACCGACTTAAAACAGTCTAACTACTTTAAACAATGAAGAAATTGACGTTAAAGAATCTTACTAAGAATCAAAAATGCTTTCATTCGATACCAAACTTGATATATTTGGGTAAAACAATAATCAAGTAAGATTAGCAACTCAAATGTCAAAATTAAATATAACCATTTTTTAATAAATATTGAAATTATCTTAATAGGCATGAAAAATGCTTTCATTTGATACCAAACTTGACATATTTGGGTGAAGAAATAAAAAAGTTAGGCTAGAAACTGTCAAATGTCAAAATTAAATGTAACGATTTTTGATAAATATTGAAATGATCTTAATAAGAATCAAAAATGCTTTCATTTGATACCAAACATGACATATTTGGGTAAAAAAATAAAAAAGGTTGGTTAGAAACTGTCAAATGTCAAAATTAAATGTAAGATTTTTTCGATAAATATTGAAATGATTTTAAAAGAATCAAAACTGCTTTCATTTGTCACCAAATATGATATATTTAGGTTAAACAATAAAAAAGTGAGGTTAGAAACTGTCAAATGTCAAATAATCGCCATTTTTTTACTAATAATTAAGATATCTCGATAAGGGTTGGAGATAAATAAGTCGAGTTTGGGCTCATTTTAATGGATTTTTAATTTTCTATCCATTAATGTTTTAAAAAGAAACACCTTCATAACTAAAAAATTTTTCTGAATTGATACTTATCAAGAAACAAATACTTAATGCGATTAATCCAAAAAATTTTGTTCTATCGACTCCTTGGGCATGCTCGGACGTGTTGGTCGGATGCAGTATAAGTCAAGGTTCATAAAGCGTATTGGTATAAGTAAAAAAAAAGTTAGGTTAGAAAGTGTCAAATGTCAAAACTAAATACAACGATTTTTTTATAAATATTGCAATGATCTTAATATGAATCAAAAATGCTTTTATTTGATACCAAACATGATATATTTGCGTTAAAAAATAAAAAAGTTATGTTAGAAACTGTCAAATGTCAAAATTGAATGTAACGATTTTTTGATAAATGTTGAAATTATCTTAATAAGAATCAAAAATGCTTTCGTTTAATACCAAACATGATATATTTAGGTAAAAAAATAAAAAAGTTAGGTTAGAAACTGTCAAATGTCAAATAATCGCCATTCTTTTGCTAATATTTAAGATATCTCGATAAGGGTTTGAGATAGATAAGTCGAGCTTGGGTTCATTTTAAAGAATTTTTAATTTTCTATTCATTAATGTTAAAAAAGAACAGCTTTAAAAATAAAAAAGTTAGGTTAGAAACTGTCAAAATTTAATATAGCGAATTTTATATAAATATTGAAATGATCTTAATAAGTATCAAAAATGGTCGAATTTGATACCAAACATAATCTGTTTTGGTTAAAAAAATAAAAAAGTTAGGTTAGAAACTGTCAAACGTCAAAATTAAATATTACCATTTTTTGATAAATATTGAAATGATCTTAATAAGAATCAAAAATGCTGTCATTTGATGCCAAACAAGATATAGTTGGGTTAAAAATAAAAAAGTTAATTTATAAACTGTCAAATGTCAAATAATCGCCATTTTTTTGCTGATAATTAAGATATCTCGTTTGAGATAGATAAGTCGAGTTTGAGTTCATTTTAAAGGATTTTTAATTTTCTATTCATTAATGTTAAAAAAGAACAGCTTTAAAAATAAAAAAGTTAGGTTAGAAACTGTCAAATGTCAAAATTTAATATACCGAATTTTATATAAATATTGAAATGATCTTAATAAGTATCAAAAATGGTCGAATTTAATACCAAACATAATCTATTTTGGTTAAAAAAATAAAAAAAGTTAGGTTAAAAACAGTCAAATGTCAAAATTAAATATAACGATTTTTTGTTAAATATTGAAATGATCTTAATAAGAATCAAAAATGCTTTCATTTGATACCAAACAAGATATAGTTAGGTTAAAAATAAAAAAGTTAATGTATAAACTGTCAAATGTCAAATAATCGCCATTTTTTTTGCTAATAATTAAGGTATCTCGATAACGGTTTGAGATAGATAAGTCGAGTTTGGGTTCATTTTAAAGGATTTTTAATTTTTTATTCATTAATGTTAAAAAAACAGCTTTAAAAATAAAAAAGGTAAGTTAGAAACTGTCAAAATTAAATGGAACGATTTTTTGATAAATATTGAAATGATCTTAAAAGAATCAAAACTGCTTTCGTTTGATACCAAACAAGATATATTTGGGTTAAAAATAAAGAAGTTAGGTTATAAACAGTCAAATGTCAAAATTAAATGGAACGATTTTTTGATAAATGTTGAAATTATCTTAATAAGAATCAAAAATGCTTTAATTTAATACCAAACATGATATAATTGGATTAAAGAATAAAAAAGTTAGGTTGGAAACTGTCAAATGTCAAAATTAAATATTACGACTTTTGATAAACATTGTAATGATTTCAATGGGAATCAAAAATGCTTTCATTTGATACTAAACGTGGTATATTTTGGTGTAAAATAAAAAAGTTAGGTTATAAACTGTCAAATGTCAAAATTAAATGGAACGATTTTTTGATAAATGTTGAAATGATCTTAATAAGAATCAAAAATGCTTTCATTTGATACCAAACATGATATATTTGGACTAACGAATAAAAAAGTTAGGTTAGAAACTGTCAAATGTCAAAATTAAATGTAACGATTTTTTGTTAAATCTTGAAATGTTGTTAAATAACAATCAAAAATGTTTTTATTTGATACCAAACAAGATATAGTTGGGTTAAAAATAAAAGAAGTTAATTTATAAACTGTCAAATGTCAAATAATCGCCATTTTTTTTGCTAAGAATTAAGATATCTCGATAACGGTTTGAGATAGATTAGTCGAGTTTGGGTTCATTTTAAAGGATTTTTAATTTTCTATTCATTAATGTTAAAAAAGAACAGCTTTAAAAATAAAAGTCAGGTTAGAAACTGTCAAATGTCAAAATTAAATGGAACGATTTTTTGATAAATATAGAAATGATCTTAAAAGAATCAAAACTGCTTTGGTTTGATACCAAACAAGATATATTTGGGTTAAAAATACGAAAGTTAGGTTATAAACTGTCAAATGTCAAAATTAAATGGAACGATTTTTTGATAAATGTTGAAATTATCTTAATAAGAATCAAAAATGCTTCCGTTTGACACCATATATGATATATTTGGGTTAAAAAATAAAAAAGTTAGGTTAGAAACTGTCAAACGTCAAAATCAAATATTACGATTTTTTGATAGACATTGAAATGATCTTAATAAGAATCAAAAATACTTTAATTTAATACCAAACATGATATCATTGGGTTAAAGAATAGAAAAGTTAGGTTAGAAACTGTCAAATGTCAAAATTAAATATAACGATTTTCTGTTAAATAATGAAATGATCTTAATAAGAATCAAAAATGCTTTCATTTGATACCAAACAAGATATAGTTGGGTTAAAAATAAAAAAGTTAATTTAAAAACTGTCAAATGTCAAATAATCACCATTTTTTTTTGCTAATAATTAAGATATCTCGATAACGGTTTGAGATAGATAAGTCGAGTTTGGGTTCATTTTAAAGGATTTTTAATTTTTTATTCATTAATGTTAAAAAAACAGCTTTAAAAATAAAAAAGGTAAGTTAGAAACTGTCAAATGTCAAAGTTAAATGGAACTATTTTTGGATAAATATTCAAATGATCTTAAAAGAATCAAAACTGCTTTCGTTTGATACCAAATAAGATATATTTGGGTTAAAAATAAGAAAGTTAGGTTATGAACTGTCAAATGTCAAAATTAAATGGAACGATTTTTTGATAAATGTTGAAATTATTTTAATAAGAATCAAAAATGCTTTAATTTAATACCAAACATGATATAATTGGGTTAAAGAATAAAAAAGTTAGGTTATGTCAAATTGTCGCCATTTTTTTTTGCTAATAATTAAGATATCTCGATAACGGTTGCAGATAAATAAGTCGTGTTTGGGCTCATTTTAAAGGATTTTTAATTTTCTATTCATTAATGTTAAAAATCAACAGCTTTAAATATAACTTTAAAAAATTTAACTAAAAATTTTCTCTAATTTGACGTCTTTATCCGATTAATCCAAAAAATTTAATTACGTTAGCAAACGCATCTTCATAACTTTGGATTATTGTTGCTACTGAATTTCACCATTACTTCCGGATTTCTTTTTCCTTCCCTTCAACTCACATCCTTGTATTTAAAGTCTCATTCCAAGATTTGAGTAATAAGTTTCATTGTATTTCTTTTTTAAGGTAAACTATAAAGGAAAAGAAATCTTCACAAACGGAATAACAATTAACATTCCAACCCAAATGTTTATCAACGGAGAATTCGTCGATGCAGAAACCGGAAAAACTTCAAACTGTATTAACCCCACGGATGAAAGCGTAATTTGCCAAATCCCCGCCGCCACAATAAACGACGTCAACCAAGCGGTCGAAGCCGCCAAAAAAGCGTTCGAGGAAGGAGAATGGAGCAAAATCAGCGCTCGCGAACGCGGATTAATCCTCTTCAGATTAGCCGATTTAATGCAAGAACACAAAGAAGAATTAGCCACGATCGAGGCTTTAGATGCGGGGGCCGTTTATACTTTAGCTTTAAAAACTCACGTTGGGATGAGTATTGAAACTTGGAGGTATTTCGCTGGGTGGGCTGATAAGATTCACGGAAGTACGGTTCCTATTTCGAACGCACGTCCAAATTCGAATTTGTGTTTTACGAAAAAAGATGCGATTGGGTATTAATAAAAATTAATTCTAAAAATAAATTTTAATTAATCAAAAAAATTCTTTTTTTTTTAGTGTTTGTGGGTTAGTAACTCCATGGAATTACCCCTTAATGATGTTATCGTGGAAAATGGCCGCTTGTTTAGCGGCTGGAAACACGGTTGTGATTAAGCCAGCCCAAGTTTGTCCTTTAACAGCTTTAAAGTTCGCCGAGTTATCTGTAAAAGCAGGGGTACCACCCGGAGTTATTAACGTTGTAACGGGATCGGGTACAATCGTTGGAAATGCAATCGCTTCTCACCCCGACGTAAGAAAATTAGGATTCACCGGAAGTACCGAAATAGGAAAAGTAATAATGAAGACTTGTGCAGAAAACGTTAAAAAAGTCTCTTTGGAATTAGGAGGAAAATCGCCGCTAATTATTTTTGGAGATTGCGATATCGAAAAAGCAGTTAAACTTGTAATTAAATCAGAAATTAATGAGTATATAATATCTCGATATAACGGATTAATACGGGGATATGAAAACTTTGAATTAATAATTTTCTCACAAATTCTAGTTTTAGTTCAATGAAGGATATACAATCCCGAAGAGAAATGGTAAAAAGAGCAGAAAGGTGCAACACTGGAAACAGACTGGTAATAGAAGAAAGACATTGAATAAAACGTAAAAAGAGGAAAAAGAAACTGGGCAGAAAGGATTAAGACTTAAAAAAAGATTCTAAAGTCAAGAAAAGGATGGCCAAGCAAAATGATGATTGTAAATGTTGAGAAAAAGACTGAATAGAGGCTGGATCGATTAACAAGGGAGAATGGTGTAACTGAAATGAGGTTCGTCCCAATCTCTTGGTGTTCGAGATGATTGCGAGGCGGCCGATGTCTTCGAAAACGGCTGTGTTAGATATGTATAAGACCTAATTCCTTAGCTATGCGTTCATCTCGTTTGAAACAGTACAAAAATTGAACACGAGAGTATATAACACGAAATATCTCGAATGTCAAAAAAGGAAGTTGAGCAGAAAGGTGTAATACGGAATAATACGTGAAAAGAGAAAAAAAGAGATTGGAAAGGCTAATAAAAAGACTGACTGGAGTTTTGAGAGACAAAAACGGGAATGGGCAGAAAGATGTAACACTGAAAAAGTTTGGTAATGCAAAAATAATAGTGTAGAAAGACAGGAAATGGAAAAATGAGCTTGGACAGACAGGTGCAACACTGGAAACAGACTGGCAATAGAAGTAAGACATTGAGTAAAACGTGAAAAGAGGAAAAAGAAACTGGGCAGGAAGGATTAAGACTTAAAAAAAGATTATAAAGTCAAGAAAAGGATGGCTAAACAAAATGATGATTGTAAATGTTGAGAAAAAGACTGAATAGAGGCTGAATCGATTAACAAGGAAGAATGGTGTAACTAAAATGAGGTTTGTGTCAATCTCTTGGTGTTCGTGTTGATTGCGAGGCGGCCGATGTCTTCGAAAACGGCCGTGTTAGATATGTATAAGACCTAATTCCATAACCATGCGTTGATTTCGTTTGAAACAGCTACAAAAATTGAACACGGCCGACTTCAAAGACGTCGGGCGCCCGAGAGTAACACCAAATATGCCGAAGGTCAAAAAAGAAGGTTGAGCAGAAAAGTGTAATACTGAAAAAAGACTTATAATAGAAGAAATATACTGAATAAAACAGTGTAATGCAAAAATAATAGTGTAGCGAGACTGGAAATGGAAGAATGAGGTTGGACAGAACGATGTAATACTGGAAAGAAACTGGTAATAAAAGAGAGACACTGAATAAAAAGTGAAAAGAGAGAAAAAGGCATTTAAGCAGAAAGGAGGAAGACTACAAATGCAAGAAAATGATTATATCTTCTACTATGGGAGGTTCTTCCTCGTCTGAGGAAAGTAATGCCTGATGTGGTGGATTGAAATCGGGTTGTTCTTCTGGTGCTTTGCTACTTCTTGTTTTAGACATCTTCGGCATCACTGTACGAAACGTTGTGCGCCAAGTGTTACCAGGATCGTCGCGTCGGCAGGAATAAAACAATGTTTTATTACATATTATGTTATAGTATTGTATTATAAGAATATATTGAGGTACAATCACAGTTGCTAAAATGACGTGGTTGTGATGACCTTATTGGTTTTACTAGACTTCAGCAAGACATTTGATTATAACTTGTTGGTGGCAATTCTATCTTCTGTAGGTTTTGTTCTTTGTGTGTACATGAGTGCTCATCTTCCTTGTCTGTATTTACAAGCCATTGCGATGTGCCTCATGGCAGTGTTTTTGTCCACCTCTCTTGTATGTAAGAAAAGGGGAGGGTATGCAACGCACACAGCACTTAGGCCCCAGCGGACCCTTGTGCATCCTCCCAACACTCACTCCGGTTATTACATTACATTACATTACATAGAATACATATCGGGTAGGCGGACCAACCAACCTTGCACCGCGACCCTAAGGATCTATTGTACCCCGATAGATATCGTTATCAAATTTCACCGTGCAGTCCAATGCTCTTAACGAACATTAATACCTTGCTCGGCGAAAGGTCATTCAGATCTTTTGAGGAGATAAACTGCGACCCAAAAATCGAGAATCTGATACGGTTAACGGCAGGGCAGTGGCATAAAACATGCTCAACCGTCTCTGCTTCCTCCGCACATAGTCAGCATTCAACATCATCGGCTAAACCCAACAAGTTGAGGTGTGCTTTTAATCGGCAGTGCCCAGTAAAAACACCCATTAGAACTTTTATGCTACTACGGGCAAGTCCTAAAATATTCCCGGGTTTGAAAGTGAGAGAAGTCTCTCTTCAGCCCACAGTCCAATTCTATATTTAGCCATCACAAATAATACACCAACTGCTGGGTACAGTACGTACCCAAGCTGTAAAAGATTGCTTAACTCGAGGTGTCTGACAGTATACTCCTGCTCCGACCCCTTCCGGCGTTTTTGATCCATCTGTGAACACGCAAATATCAGCCTGAACCAGAGAGTTTTCATTTTCGAGCATTAATCATTGATAGTGGTCCCGCCAAATCTGACGGTATTAATAGCACAGTAGTTAGATAGACCTAACAGATCCTCCATTGCTAGAGTTGACGTTGTGCTTATTGCACCAGAGATTGACAATACAGCTACTCGTTGAATTCGTGAAAGTTTACTGATAACTGAAGTCTGTTGGACTTTCCTATACCAAGCTGCTGCTCCGTATGTGATCATAGGTCTAACCACAGTGACATAGAGCCAGTACAGTCTTTTAGGAGTAAAATTCTTTCCATAAAGACTACGACAAGTTCACAAGGATAGTCTAGCTTTGTGCAAAAATTCCTGCAAATGCCTATTCCATGACAAGGATTACTCCTAGATATTTGACTTCCTTTGAGAAAGGAATTTCTTCACGTTGGATAGTTGGGCGGATTAATCCATCTAACTTTTGTTTCCTGGTAAAAAGCACAACAATTGTCTTTTGCGGGTTTATCGAGAGGTTTTCTCACTTACACCAAGCGCAAATGGTATCTAGGGTCACCTGGAGGACTTTAGATATCCTCGACAAACAGACTCCTTTGACCATAACGACAATGCCATCAGCGCAAGCCTGTATTTCTACACCAACGGCTTCGACTATCGCAATCAGATCGTCAACCAGGAGGGATCAAAGCAGGGGAAATAACACTCCTCCCTGCGGGCAGCCACCTCCCGGCCTGAAGCGTATCATGTCACCGTGGAGTGAAGTAGAAACTATTCTACTTTCAAGCATATTGCGGATCCAACCCGCTATAGTTGCTTCCACTCCCCTGTCACGAGCAGCTCTTTCACGAGATTGTGGTATTGCGTTGTTGAACACTCCTTCTGTATCCAGAAACGCACAAACCAAGATTTTTTTATCCTGCAGCGTCCCACTAAGTTGTGTGGAGCCAATTGGACTAGATGCCAATGGCACTGTACTGATATACCGTTCCAGAACTTTTTCAAGGATTTTCAACAGAAATGACGTTAGGTTGACGGGTCGAAAGGCATTAGGAGTAGGGACCGAATGGCCCGCTTTAGGCAACATAGTGACCTTTCTTGCTGCAACAAAGTAGGAAAGATGTTGTCTTCTCCGGGCGATTTGAACGGCTTAAATGTTTGAATGTGACGACTTTTCCAGCCACAGTCCAATCTCGCTCAATAGCCCGCTGTGGCATTATCAGCTCTCATCATCAAGCTTCCTGGGAAGCGAGTCTGCTCTAACGAGGTTCTGCTAGAGTCCGTAAAACTACCGTTAGGCCGCTTAAGTGAGCCCAAGGGTAATGCCAGATCTCTAGCGAGAATCTTATAAATTCTTGCACTGCCGGGTGTGTCTTTCACTTCCTCACAGAACCTCCCCCAAGACACTCTTTTTACCTTACGTATGTTTTTGGTGTAATTCGTTAGAGCTTGTTTATATTTCTCCCATTCAGCTAATGTCTTGGCCCGGTTAAAAAGCCTCCGGACCTCTTGTCTTTCGGAGCTAAGAGGACTGCTACTGTGATAGGCAGAACGAATTGTCACAGAAATCTGCTCTGTGGCTATTTCAATCTGATCACAGTTCCTAACGGTAGCGATAACACTAGTTAGGTTATCTGCAAGGCAACTCTTAAACAGATCCCAATTAGTGCAACGGGGATGACGGTACGTACAGCCCGATTTCATCCCTAGGTCAATTTTAAATTGAATATGTCTATGATCTGAGCACGACGGTTCAGAGGATACTCTTCAGGAGGTTATCTTGGAGCTTAATATAATTGAGCTGAACGTAATGTCAAGTACCTCTACTCTATTTCTGGTAACAAAGGGTGTTTGGCGCCTACATTATTAACAGTAAGCCCTTCCCCTAATAGGTAGTCAAAAAGCAACTCACCTCTTAAATTTGTGTTGGTGCTTGCCCACATTGTGTGGTGCGCATTGGCATCATATCCAACAACCACTTGTAGGTTATTCCTCCGGCTGTAGGCAATTATGTCTCGCACAGCGGCCGGGGGAAGATCATTATGCGTTCCGGGGAGGTATGCCGAGCAGATGACAATTTCTGTCCAGCCCTTCTCACTTTGGATTCTCAGAACCTGAAGCTGTAACACTGAAAACAGATTAGTCTCAATGTCTTAGTGTCTTCGAAAACACTTACATATGATTAATACTCGGAGTCAAGCCACCAGATCCGAATAACTATTGGTTATATTGTTTTGTTTTTCTCTTTTGTTAAAAACCGTTTGCTCCATTATGTACGATATATCTTTTTGCATGGTTGAGCTACTCCGTTCTGTCACTGGCTGGTTTTTGGACGAATCAATCCTCAATTGCGTTGCGTCACTGAAGTGAAGAGTAAATTATTTTAGATTTTCTTTCCATTCCCTCTCTTTTTTTTAACTATTGTCTACTTACTGTTATTTCTTACTATGAATACAAGCTGTTCTTCCTGTGTTCCTCTAGTTTTTTCTCTAGCGACTCACCATTTTGGCATGACATGGGTGAGATTACTGATGGCAATCTTGATGCTCTCTTGAGTGAACTTCCAACTGAACGCGGGCTATGTGATTTCATTTCGGTTTGCCACATAAACTTGCAAAGTCTCTGGGCTCATTTGATGACATGACTCAAGCCCTCCCTTCCCTCGTCCTTATTATCGTACCCAAATTATCGCTTATTGAGATATCGAGTGGCGTTGTTTGTTCGCGACCATCTCAACATCAATATTATTGCTTCATCGGATGGATCACAACAAAGTGCTGAGTTGCCGCATGCTTTTGGACACGTTTTACTGAACTTGTATTACTTTGATCATTTGGAGGATGTACTGGAGAGCTACAGTCTTAATTACGATCCTATTCTTCTCAAGTGCGACTTCAACCCTTATCTCTTAAGGAACGACTTACGCTGTGAAAAACTCAAATTCATCACCTCTTCCCTCAGTCTTTCTATTTTACCGACCCAACCTACATACCATTTACCAACATCTCAGTCTATGCAGAGCATACTTTTTCATGTTCAAATTCCAGCGTCTTAGTTCTCCAACCACAACTTGATCTATTGGACGTTGTGTGAATGTCGGATATCAACGAAAAGATTAACTACATACTTCAATACACAAATTAGTGAACTGTATGACTGTCATGCCAATTTTACTTCCACGCAAAACAACTCACTTGCCTGCACCCTGGCTCAACAATGAGGTCAGAGATCTCATGCGCAGACGCAATGCTGCAAGAATTCTTCTTCAAAGACATCCTTCCAATGCTAATTGGGAAAGCTACCGTACTTTACATAACCGCTGCAACCACCGTTGTAAAAATTAAAAAAAAATGTATAGGTATTTATCGGAAATTGTCCCCAACACATTCTGAAAAACCATACGTTCTCTTGATGTATTTGAATCTCCTTCTTACCATGGTAGTTTTGATTGTGATTCTCTGGCTAGTTATTTTGCCGAATCCCCTATCACTCTCGACGATTCAATTAAGGTGTGTGTAGTTTCAAGTGACGTTGGTTAAACCACAGGTGGTATAACCAAAGCACTTGGACCCCAACGGTCCCTTTGTACATCCTCACGGTTTACTTCAGCCATGTGTAAGTCTATTTGGAGGAGTGAAAGATGTTCGAAAATGGCATCCGATCAGGCTGATACCGCTTCTCGCCTCGCCTTAAGCCGGGCTAGTACTCCAACGCCCAGCAACTTAAAGACGACACCCAAGCCGGGCTGGTAACTCCAACGCCCAGAATCTTGGGTGCATGGCTGAGTACCGCTCAAAAAGCGCAGACGCGCTTTCAACCCGTTTTTACGTTCACAACCTCCAACTACACATGTATCTGACGACAACCAGAGATGTTAGACTGGTTGCCGGGACCGACGGCTTAACGTCCCCTCCGAAGGACGGGGAGGCGACTCGGCGTGTATTCACTGGGAATCGAACCCAGGACGCCGGCGTGGTAGCCCGAGAGCTTACCACGGGGCCATTCGCCCCCCTAAGGTATCAACAATTCTCGCCATTAATGCCTCCGCTAATATCAGTTCCACATTTTCCTTAGAGTTGTTTAACGAATTCCAAGTTCGCCAGGCTCTCAGATATTCTCGGTCCACTAGTGTTGGTGCTGATGGTGTCAGCATTAAGCACCTATTGTGACCAGGATTGTCGACAGGTTTGTGGAAGTCTTCTTGTGGCAGGTTCCGGACGGAATGAATCCAGCTGAAATTTCCCCCATATTATATAGTCCTGGTCGTTGGTGTGGGTGACGATAACTTGGTGTTGCTGAATGGACCGCTTGCTCGGCGCCAGACTTGTGTTGGATTGAAACGTGAATGTTGTCTCATTGTTTCTCCTTTACCTCGTCCACCAGGTATCGCATGTCGATATAGGCGATTTGATGTCCAGCTTCTTCCTGGCATGGTTTGGTGTGCATGGATGGGTGTAATTGGGCGTTATGTCTCCGCTTGGTGCACTGTCGAACTGTTGAGACAGGAAATCTGGAAATTCGTTCTCGTGGTCTTGCATGTGTTCTTGCGGACCTAACTGCTTGATGGAGCTCGTATCGATCGTGTAGTGCGAGGGTACAGGTGTGCTTCATTCTAAGTAGGCTGTGTGTGGCACCGAAGTGAAGGCAATGGCGTTGATAGTCCAACACCACCTTGTCGCTGAGGAACCACGGGTCGCCTAAGATGACTGATTGGCAAGGCTGGGAACCACGAAGAACTCTTATTTGCAGGGGCCCTAAGATTTGTAGCCACGTGTTGGGGTCTGCCTGACACATGTGACAATTTTTCAGCGGCTCGTAGTGGTTGGCAATGTCGGAACGGATGAAATTGGCTGAAGAACCAGTTTCGGTAAGGGTACGATGGTATCCTCCGAGAGCGTTTATGGTGACTACTGCACCTGTTGAACGTGGCAATCCCTGTAATGTGGAGACTATTTAGGACGGCCGTGGTTGAACCTTGTTTTTAGTGGCGGCCATTTGCTAATTCTACCGTGTTGCTGGCAATAACGGTGAGGTGAATCTGCAGTTGATGTAGCAGTACTACTGCAGCAGTAGGAATTGCGTCGGACTTGATGGTGCTTCCTCTTTGAAAGAAATTGATAGGATTCTACGGGTTGTTGATGGCGGCTGAAGTATTGGCCGTTGACTAGAGCATATTTTCGCTTGGTCGGTTAGGAAGCCTGCGATTTGTTTTTGCCAGCTCGACGATTCTATTCCGACCCGTAGGAAATATTCTTCAGCGCCCCAGAGAAACTCTTCTTGATCTTCTAGAGGGTTGTCTGTGAAGGTGGGCGGTTGCGGGCCGTCGACGGTTTGTAGTTCTGTGAGTAACTTGTGCAAGGACTGAAGGTTTGAGGAGCCGTTGTTCGCCTTGGCGTGTGATTCCATTTCCTGGGTCTGTGTCCTAGTTGTCGTTTTGATATCTTCTACTTTGGGAGGTTCTTCCTCGCCTGAGAAAAGTAATGCCTGATGTGGTGGATTGAAGTCGGGTTGTTCTTCTGGTGGAAACGTTGTGCACCAAATGTTACCAGGATCGTCGGCAGGAATAAAATATGTTATAGTATTGGTACGTGGTTGTGATAACCGTCGTTTGACCTTATTGGTTTTACTTGACTTTAGCAAGGCATTTGATTCCGTTGATTATAACTTGTTGGTGGCAATTCTGTCTTCTGTAGGTTTTCGTTCCTTGTGTGTACATGACTCCTCATCTTCCTCGTCTGTATTTACAAGCCGTTGCGATGTGCCTCAGGGCAGTGTTTTTGTCTACTTCTCTTTTTCGTCTTCATAATTTGCATTACTAAGATAATTAACTGCAAATTTCACCTATATGCAAACGACCTCCAAATTTATACATCTGCAGCTGTAGATGAATGCAGCTGATCTTGCCAGTGTTGTAGCCTGGTCTAGATGCCATGGCTTGAGGTTGAATATAGCAAAAACTCAAGCTATTTCTTTCGGACTCCATCAATAATACCCATCTGACACTTGATGGTAACATCATACAATTCTCTCAAACAGTTAAATACTTGGGGGTTGATGATGGATTCTGCATTGTCTTGGCAGCCCCAGATTCAGTTTGTGCATTTCTGCATTTCTGTTCATGGCATCTCTCGGTCTTCCTACTAGAGCACAGTCTGATGTCTCACTCATGTTTCTCGTTCATCGTACTGAAATATATCACAGATCTTTCACTGTCTTAGTCTAAGCTATAACTATGTGGAATAGTTTACTCACAGAACCTAATTCCTTAGCCATGTGTTCATCTCACTTAAAATTATATTAAACAGATAATATTAACAGTATAACTAAGATATTTTGTCCGTTATATCGAGATTTAACTATATTTTTATTATTAATTAATTAATTAATTATATTTATAGGGTATGCAAAGCGTATTTTTTAATAAAGGCGAAAATTGCATAGCGGCGGGACGAATTTTCGTCGAAAATTCAATTTACAAAGAGTTCATTCACCGCGTTGCTAAAGAAACCAAAAAAATCACCATCGGAGATCCATTAAATAAATCAACAGCCCACGGACCTCAAAATCATCTTGCCCATTTAGAGAAACTCATCGAATACGTCGATTTAGCCGTAAAAGAAGGGGCGAGATTAATTCATGGGGGTAAACGCGTTAAAAGGAGTGGTTATTTTTTCGAACCGACGATTTTGGCCGATATTGAGGATGAAATGTTTGTGGCGAAAGAAGAATCTTTTGGGCCGATTATGTGTATTAGTAAATTTGATGATGGGTAAATTAATTAATTAATTTTAATTGAATTTTAATTTATTAATGTTTTTGTAGTGATATTGATGGTGTTATTAAACGAGCCAATGCTACTGAATATGGTTTAGCCTCCGGGGTTTTCACCTCCGATATAAATAAAGCGTTGAAAATCGCGGAAAAAATCGAAGCTGGAACTGTTTTTATTAATACTTATAATAAAACGGATGTTGCGGCTCCATTTGGAGGGTTTAAACAAAGCGGGTTTGGAAAGGATTTAGGGCAGGAAGCTTTGAACGAATATTTAAAAACTAAATGTGTTACTATTGAATATTAATTTTTTTTTATTTTTATTGATTAGATTTTAATTGAATTGTAATTGTATTATTCCTTTTATTTTAATAAAATCACTTTTAAATGCGATTTTTCTCTTAATAGGTAGTGTTTCTGATTATTTTTGCAAAAAGTGTTTCAAAGAGAATGTAAGGGTCCAAGAATTCCAGAAAAATTGGGAACAAATCAGTGATAGAAATTGATCATTCCAAGAAATCTCTGGAGTTCTCTCAGATTTTGAGGTTGAGGAAAATTATTTATTGCTTCAATTTTTGATTGAGTTGGACGAGACCCTTGGAAATCTATTGAACTTACTCCAAAAACACATTTAGACGGTTTAATTTTGGTTCCAAAACTATCTAATCTTTCAAAAAGGTGTCGAAGGTGAATTAAGCGTTCATTTTTGTCTTTACTGGTAATAAGACATATCATTCAAGTAGACAAAAATAAAACATAAACCGGAAGTTACTTCGTTAATAAACCGTTGAAATGTTTGAGCTGCATTTTTTAACCCAAATGACATTTGAGTGAATTCATAGACACCGAAAGGGGTAATACTTTCTTACTTATCGAACAGTCAATAATTAAAAAATAACCAATAATAGATAAACAATAAGATCAAATAACTACGAATAGCGATGAATAGCAACAAATAACAATGAATGACAACAATTAATACAAGAAACTCCACAATACTACTCAAAATACTCTCATTAAAGGTGAGTTTAGACATGCATGGATTTAGTGGCGCCAGTTCTACTTGCACGCCAGTAAAGGTTTACATTACATGTGCCACTTGAGATTTCTGTCTTCCAACTAAACCAGTAAATCCTAATCAACACGCCTACACTCAGGGCAAGTCCACACTAACAGTTCTTCACTCAGTGACCAGCTTTGTTGGTGGAGCGCTGAACCTGAAGGAGTCCGCCCTGGGTGTTTTTATAGATATAGAGGGAGCTTTTGATAAAACAACTTTCTCTGGTATTAACGAAGCCTTGTTAGAGCATAATGTTCCACCGACTCTTTGTGGTTGGATTGAGAACACTCTTAAACATAGGCTAGTTAAGCTTAGGGCTGGCGATGTCAGTCTTCAAGGAGGAGTTACTCGAGGCTGTCCACAAGGCGGTGTACTATCCCCACTTTTGTGGAACCTCACCCTGGATAGCCTCTGGAACCGCCTCGCTGAAGCCAACTTTATCACAGTTGGTTACGCAGATGATTTAACCATTCTTGTCAAAGGCAAGTATATAAACGTGCTGTTTGATAGGATGCAAGTAGCTCTTAAATTGATAGAGACCTGTGACGAACAAAGACTCTCTGTGAATCCTAAAAAGACAGAGTTGATTCTTTTCACACGGATGAGGAAGGTTGGCAAGCCCAGGAATGCCATCCCTTGCTAATACTCCATTGACATTGTCAAAAGAAGTTAAATATCTGGGCATCACGCTTGACAATAAAATGACATGAAGAGCCCACCTAGATAATAGAGTTAAAAAAGCGTACGTTACATTCGGTCAATGCCGGAGGGCTATAGGTAAGACATGGGGTTTGTCACCCAAAAATGCCCTCTGGATTTACACGGCTGTAATCCGACCTATGCTTACATATGGTGCAGTAATATGGTGGTCAAAGACCCTACAGTCTACATCTACTGCTGCACTGCAGCCATGGAAAACATGTTAAACCTAACGCCACTTCATTTGTTCATCCAAGAGGTGGCATTGGTGACCATGATTCGACTGCGAGCAGTAGGAATTCTAATGGGTGAGAGAAACAGTAAAAATGCCAATCTCTGGAACGAAATGGTGGAATACTCACCAATTCTGGATTGTGTAACGGACATTACACCCCTACAACACATTTTTACGAAGAAATATCGCACCCACCCAAGTTCCACAGAAGTAGAGGTAAAAAACAGCCTTAAAATCTACACTGATGGTTCAAAGAGACGGGAAGGAGCTGGAGCCGGAGTCTTCTCGTACGATCTCCGACTCCACGTATCTGAACCTCTAGGTAAAAGTACCACCGTCATATAGGCGGAATTAATCGCCATACAATTTGCCGCTGACGTTATAGTCAGATCCAACTTGGTAGGTAAGACTTTTACAATTTATACTGACAGTAGACAAGCCATTTTGGCCCTGAGTAGAATAACAATTATAATAATAACTTTAACGTCCGATAATTTCGGTCAGTAACGACATTAGCCGGTTGTTTGCGACAATGGCCAGGTATACTGGTCAATATTGATAATTACAAGATGGGCCGGCTGTTATCGTCAGTACCCGGAACTACTCGGGCCTGGCTGCGTTGCCAGCAGTTTGCGGAATGTTTCCGTGTTCGGACGTGTTGACAGACGCAGTGGGCAGTGGATGTGTGGATTACAGTGTGTGAAAAGACCGCAGTGAGTGAAACTGTTTCTTGCACCAAGTGATTGCTTTAAATAGGCATCTCAACGTCGTCGTGGTTGGCTGTTACTTTTTTTTTTT